TGCTTTGTTAAATTGATAGATTAGCGTAACAGGGATCAGAAATTACGAGGATAGACAGCAGATCAGTTTGAGAGAAGAGTGAGACAGTTTTCCCTGTAGACAGATGGGCCATAAGGGAGAGGACATGGATGACTTGGATGTCTTGGCAGCGAGACAACACTTTCCCATGCGGTCCACATTCCAGCTGACAATCTGTGTGGACTGAATGCTGCTGTACACCGATCACCGCTTAGCTAAAAAACACTTAGATAGTATGACATCAATGAAGTCTTGTCAGGTCACTTATACTAATTAGTCTGTGGTGTTATACCAAATAATTGCGGTAACACACATTGTTGTCAAGACAAGATGTTATGCCGATCATATAATAATGATAGAATAGCATGAAATGCAAGTACACTCTTTTAAAGAAAAATTATCTTAGCTTTTTTGTAATGTTCAGACATTGGAATTGTTTTGTGAACAAAAGTAATAATGTAAGGTGAAAACAAATTAAATATGTATAGAAAATAAAAATAAATAAGACAAAACACACATCCTATGCAGTTAATAAAATGGTCTCTCTGGTTATCTTAACAATGCACTTATGTAAGTATTATACACAGAGATGGGAAATGACGAATAGCTTCACTTCCACACAAATACATGTTGTCATTGTTTCGGTCTAGCAACCTGATATTTCCTCTGCAGGGAGTGTTTGTTGTGGATATTTTTTATCCAATCACTCAGGAGCCCTTTGTAATGGATGTTATTTCCATTCAAGAACTGTTTTGACTATCACATAATGGTATAAGTGTCTTAGGCTACGTGCTCATAAACACAACTCAAACATGTCCATCAATAAGTAAGAGCACTTTCTTGAAACTGCATTAAGAAGTAGTGCCAGTCTATTTGAGAGGCATAGACATTTAAAGGTGCAATCATTAATCAGTACAGGTTTCGTTAAACGTTTGACTTGTAGACGGTTAAAAATAGACGGTTAAGGTTCATGGAACGGCAACCTAAAGTACCATAACTTGTCTTTGTTTGTAGACTTTACATGTCCAAACAAACCTTTTATACCCTCAAGGTTTGTTTAAAATCTACAGTTCAGTGTCCACCCTGATAGCAAAAGCTGAGGTAACACATTTCAGAGGGGATAAATGTCTTCAATGCATGATATCACTATGTAAACATGCCTGTAATGGTGTGGTAGTATTTCACCAGAGGGTGCCATAACGTTTGAAGATTTGACCTTTGATATGCAACAGTGTGAAAGTGTTTCTTCTTTGACCCTGTTTATAATAAACCTTTAGGTCAACTTGAAAAAGAGAACAGTTTTGACTCTTATATTCATTTTCAAATGGCAGAAAGATGGTTAAGTAGAGAAAAGCAAACACTGAATGCAACTGAAAGAAGATGAGGAAGTCAGAATCATTTTAGTTTGTTAACACTCTACCATCATCCTGAGGTGTTTTATCCTGTCAATGTTTGTGTCACAACATTGGAGCGTGTTAATAAAGCATTAGGATGATTCACCACCTGGCCTGTGCGGTGTTGTTATAAAGACACTCCCACTCCCTGGAGAAGCCCAGACCTGTTCAGAGAGACACACAACACTACAGGAGATTCAGTAGGTGTGGTAGCACCTTGACATGATAAATTAGATAAATAGACAGGCAGGAAGTAAGGGGGATAATGACAGGAAGGCAGGAATACTCTGCTGTAGACGGATGACTGGTGTATACCCACACAACTAAATGAAAGATGAATGAATGGGTGGTGGCATTGCAAGATCCTCTATTCATTTTGAAAGTAAAGTAAAGAAGTACTCTAGACAGAGTAAAGATCAAACCTGATTTATAAGTTTATAACTCCAAGAGTAACTTATTTTAAGGACAGAGATGAGCTTATGTTGTTGTTAGTTCACCAAGAAGGTAATGTTTTTGGCTTGATCTGTTTGTCTGTTCTCGACATCTGAATTTTTGTTGAAGTTTACTTGAATTTGTGCTGCATTCATGTGGTGTCGCAATAATTGGAAAAAAACTGTTTCATACTGGGAAAATTCATGTCATCAGTTTATCAAGTCTGAACAGCAACTCAGAAACAGATATCAACACGTTTGAACACTCGGAGCAATAAAAATACAACACGTATTCCTTTTAGTGTTCTTGTTATTTCCACATTACAAATGAATGTTAATTATTAATGGTCACGAGCACACGTAAGAAAGCAGAACAACTTCCCAACTCTGGAAAATGGGACCAAAGAGACACATGTGAATGCACCTTTGGCTTGGTCATTTGAGTTTATTTGTCAAATTAAGTTTAGTACAGCAGCCAGTTATCCTTTTCCACAACGTTTGCATTAATTCACATGTATACTCAACGTTTTTCAAACAGCAGTGATGCCACAGCCTGCCTTTTCCTATAGCGGACATCAGTATAGGTCATCAGCCCCACTGTGAGCTCTTTACTTCTGAGTCATGAAGAAAAAAAGACCAGGGAAACAATGAGGAGAAAAGGTTATTACCACAGCATGTGTGACAACTTATCCCTATGGAAAGAAGAGGTGGAATTTCTCCAACTTCTTGTGTAACCATTAATCTCCTTACAGCATGCCAGGCCAGAACAAAGACACTGTGTTAGAGAGCGTTTCCTTTTTAAGTACATTTGATGTCAAGTGTTAGTGATAATTGCAGAACAAATTAGTACAGTAAAGCAAATAGGGAAACACACAGCAGCAGGACTAAGCTTCTTGATGTACAAAGGTTTACAAAAGCAAATTAATTGTTAATTGACATGTATAACAAGTATGTAAGTATGGTTCAATTTTACTTACATTTATAATGGGAACATTGCTTGATGTTTAATTTTTAAAGTCAGTATTCTTATTTTTACTAGCATGCCCTTTGTTGTCAATATGCAATAAAAGAGTTGTAGTTGTTTCGCTGATGAGAAATGTTATATCATTGGCTCTCAGTTTCAGAAATGTCTTAAGGTTTATTAGGATTCAATTGTTTCTATGTCTTAAAAAACCTATGTTCCTTTTTGACTGATAAAACATATAAATAATGAATGACCCTACAATAAAAGGTACAACTGTCACATCTTAATAATGAATGAATATTTCAGGCTTGACTCTTAGTCTTAACTTGAATTCCCTCTGGGTTGTATCATATTGATCATCATGAAATGAAAGCCTTTCTTTTTTGTTTTAACTAGCAGATTTTTAGTCTGAGAACATTTAACAGATCCATTATCTGTCTTCAAATGTATATGGGGCACTGGTCTGGGCCTGTCTTCTGTCCTCCACTGCAGGAATATTTGTTCAGGTGACAATCTACTTTGTGTGTGCATGTATGCACAATGTTTGCCACCTGATCCATTTCAGCTATGATATCAGAAATGTGTGGTTTATTCTACCTGGAAAGTTGCAACACTAAACAATGAAGTACTTCATTGCAACACTATTTATTTATTTTATCACACAATGCAAAATGAGTTGAGCAACAAATGTCGGCTTTGGCCACTTACTTCCTTAGATGCAGTGCTATGTGTTTAAGGCTGTGAGTTATTAATTGTAAGCTGCAGCACCAGCTGTAGCAGGAGCAGGCAGTGAATGGACTCTCTGTCTGCACTGAGCTGTGTTTTGTGTGCGGAACTGGAAACAATGGGTAACCAATGAGACAAGACCCATGTTCCTTAGTTCTGAGCCACCGTTAGTTAGTGGGGGAGGGGGGAGGCCTTTTGTGTGTATCTGTGTGCTTGTGGGTGTTTGAGAAAGAAAGGGGGAGGTATTAAGATGGGAAGGGGAAGGTAGGTTAGATGTATGAGAATGTTAGTGCGGAGGCCAACAGTCTGTCTATCTTTGGGTTTGATTTAACACACAGGATATCAAAGTAAATACACCTGATTAAAAAATTATTTTTTCGTTTAGGTTTCTCAACATTGAGTTTGCATTGACTTTAGTGTGTTATCAGAGCGTGTCACAACGCCTCTCATTTCCCGTTCTGTGTGTTTTGGGGCTATATGTCACACAAAAACACGTACATGGCAAATGAACTCATGCTCTCAACTTGTCTTTAAAATACTAAGAATAAATTGTTCTTCAATTCTTTCCACAACTGATCTATGATGACATTTCATAGTTCCTCTTTTCATCCCATTTGCCTCCTGCTTTTTTCACCTCAGTCCCCTTTTTAAAAAACAAAACCTGGGTATAGCCGATGTTAGGCACCAGGGGGCAGGAGAGAACCGCTGTGACACTGAGGAGACTTTACTGGGCCTTGGTAACTTTTGATATCCAGATAGTTAAAATTATTAAGCAATTTAAACATGTTTGTTTTCATACCGCACATATAACATATTGACCTACATGAATTATCTTATCTTATCATGTCTAAATATCAATATATTTAACAGATGGGTCATCTCTGTACAAAGTATATTTTCCTCTGCAAGCCTGACACAAAAAAACAACAATATTAATTGAGGAGAATCCAAAGTAATAGACTTCCTAGGAAAAAAAAACAATAAGCAGAAGCATAGATTCCAGGAATCCTTTTCCTCTCACCGTGCAAAACAATCCCTTCATTATTCCCATACAGACAAGTTCACACCGACTTATCAGACTTTACAGCTTCTTTGCTATCAGTATAGTTTAATATTCCTACAAGGACGTACATTTAGTGATAAGATTCTAGCCATCGTAACCTACTTGTATTGCACTTTTTTTATCTTGTCTGTTTTCACTTTTTTTTACAAGAGGAACTCCTCGCTGCATCTCAACTTTGAGTAACCAGTGCATTGGTACTGTTTTTTCTTTTTAATACCCCCATATACATTTGATATGGGATTACTGCATGGTCTCCGCATGTGTTTGGAGGGGCTGATCTTGTGCGTAAAACATCCCTGATATTTGAGGCGCTCCAGGGATTTGGTGCGCATGCGCAGTGCACCCCTCTCTCACAGCAGAGGAACCGCTGCTGCAGCCCAGCAGTCATACCGAGCATAGCCTGCGTGTCAGTGCAGTCGACTTACAGCTGGCTGTGAGGACAACTGGCGCTTTTTGTTTGCTCTTTATCACCGCGATACATTTACACATATTTCGAAAAAAGTGTCAACTCTGTGTCTCTCTTTGTGGGTTTATTTTATTCAAGTTTTACAAATAAATTAAACTAAAGTTGGAGGCTGGGCCTTTAGCTTATTGACCGTAGCTTGAGAGGAGAAGAAGAAGAAGAAGAAAAAAGCTGGTCTTTTTGTGGTAAAAACTCGATAAATGCTACTAACGAAAATGGACCTGTTAAACTACCAGTACCTGGACAAAATGAACAACAACATCGGCATTCTCTGCTACGAAGGTAAAGTGGAGTGAAGAGTTTGTGCTGCTTTGTTTTTAAACTCTCAGTTAACGCTGTGAGTTACCGTCCGAGACTTTGTCCAAGTTTCACTCAACTTACTTCAGCCTAGGGTCTGCTGCCTGGCTATTTGTTGTAAAATCCATCACATGTTGACTAATTGCATTTCAACAAGACTTATACAAATCATAAACTGTTCTTAACACTTTTCAACGGTTTGAACTTGATGTCAACGTAAGTTGTTTTTCTATTGAGTGTGGTATTAACTGTTAGCAAAGTAGTCAACGTTGGTTTTAAATGACACCATTGGCCGACGTGTTGCTATTTGCTGGTTATCTGAACAACTGGAAGTGTGTTTATAAGCCCGTGTTTTCATTTCTGAGCTATTGGCTGCTTCCCGAAAGGCTAAGACCTGGCTATTGATTGAGATCAGAGGCGGACTAATCGACTGCAAGTGTGTGAATTTCATGGCTCTCCTCTCACTGGCTCACTCTGTATTACTATTTGCTCAGTTATTCAGACTTTCTGCTCTATATCATTCACAACTACCTTTGGCAATACTAACTGTATGATCATTCTGGCAACATGTCTGACTTTAGTTGAATCAGATTGTGTGTTGTTGTTTACTTATTTGTCTCATTGTCTTTTTGTGAGATGGTTTGGATGTATCTCTTATTCCTTTTGCTGTAGTTTCCCAGTGTGGACTGCAACTTATTTTCTAGCAGGAATAGTAGTTTAACTTCTGTCCTCTGCAGTTACTGCTCACATGTCAGGCGTTGTAATATCATCCAGCCTTTCCGGGGGCTAAAAAAGACCTCCTTCCTCTGCCCCTGATTCTGAACATGCAGAATCAACTCCAGAATTGAAAAGCAAAAAGGACCACTTAAAATGGTCCATTATTGGCATACACGGCAACTAATTATATATCTTTTTAAATCTAATTCTAAGTCCCTACACAAGGTGGTTTATACAAAAAACAGAAGTTCTAGCATCACAGAGGAACACCTTTTTTTTGTATTCATCTCTTCTCTCCCTCTGTTCATTATCCTAGTCTTCCCCCACTGCTCCTCTGCCACAGTTAGCATCTCCTCTCTAAATGTCACATATAATGAACGATTAATAGCACTCCTAAGACCTACAGCTGAAAACCATTTTGCAGTTTACCAGGTGTACGAGTCACATTTTATAGCAGGAACAGCGAACATGTTTTTTAAGTGTTTGAGCATGTGGTTATGGTCTCTTTGGAGTTGTTCTTTCTTCCTGTTTTCAATGCTGTGTGGGAAACAAGAATGTTGTGTGGCTGTAATTCCTGTTCGACAAGCTGTTTGACGAAAAATGATTACTTTTAGGCATGTGGCTTTTTTTGTTTTACTCAGTGGTTCAGGCACTCGTGAAATGTCCCTGAAGCAGAAGCTCACAGTGCGATGATGGTGCAGCAGATAAGGCGGCCCCTGGTCTGGGACAGAAGCCAATCAGAAAGCTTCTCTGTGTCACTACAGAGATTCATCTCTCTCAGATTTCATCCTGTCTGTTAGTGAAGAAAATGACAGGAGTGAAGTGGGTAGGAGACTTCTTTCCAGTGGTATTTTTATACTTGTATATCCTCAGGGTGTCTCTTATGTGTGATGTGTTTAGACACAATGCTCTCTTTCTATCTTTGGAAGAACATATCTTCAGGGTTTACCCATCTATTGTTTTCGTGTGTGTTCTTTTAGCTGACTACGCCAAAAACGGACTCCATCATGTGCCTCAAGATAAGAAAACAATGATAGGAAGAGAGGGAAAAGAGCCAACCAGTAAAAAGAGTGAAAGAAAAGCCCTTCATGTTCAAACATGTTGAGCCAAGAAGGGGTTCGGAGGAGCTTTGTGATATGGTGGGTGTTCTGACTTGTTATTGTATGCATCAGCACACACTCAAAATACATTCCTGGACAGATGCATACATAAATGCTCATGCTGCACTTGAATATCCATATTAATAGTTTAAATAAAGTGTTGAATCTTTTCACTATCCTGATGCAAAGTGGCATACAGCATGATTTACAGTGCTAGAAGAAAACAGGTGCACCGTATCAATTCTACAACACACCTAAACACATTTACATCAGAATTCGGTGATGTCTTTGTGTGGCTGAACAAATAACGCAGGGGGCTGAAAATGGCCCACTTGCTGTTGCTGGCTATATTGAATGTAATTTCCAGTATATCCAGATATGCAACGTGTCAGTCGTTTGTACAAAACTGACAGATACGCGTCTTGTTTACATGATGTAACAATTACCATGTTATGCAATGTTATGACCCAGTTTGCTGAAAATCACATCCAGTCTTGCCTTCTTCTGTTGCAGTTGGTGGGTGGATAGTTTGGTTTGCATATTGTAGGGTTATAATTGGGAGCAACTTCCAGGATATAAGAAATGAAGTTATTGTAGTTGGCTTTGAGGTGCTGACCATCAGTGTGTTGGTGCCAGGTAGCATGAAAGGAGGACTGGACTCAAACCATGTTGTCATGCTGATATGAACCTTTCCCTGTGTATAAACAAAGAATCACATTATTACAATACCAAGTTGCCTCCAGCATTGTAAACAACTCCTCCAATTTCCTGCAAAGCAAAGATTGCCCCCATTTTATTCCAAATCCTTTCATTTTCCAACCAAGCTGTGCTCTTGATTCTATTTTTGGAAATGATTGATTTCTGCCAGTTGTGTGATCAGACTGAATTGGAGGATTTATGCATTATGCAACTCTTTATCACTTCGCACCTCTCTCTCTCTTTGTCTGTCTGTTCGTCTCTCTCCCCGCTCTCCCTTTCTCTTTCTGTAAAGCTGCTATCAGTTGTAGGCCTGTGTGGGAGGGGTGCAGGGGAATGCTGCTGACTGTCCCTTTTTGCTGCTGAGCAGTAACAAATAGACAAGGTTGAAAACCTCCTCAAAGCCATGTACTTTCGTCAACTTCTTTCCCTCTTCGTCCCTCTATCTTGCTCCCCTTTCCTTTCTCTGTCAGAGATCAAACCAATCCAACATCCGGTTTAAAAGTTCAGCTCTGCAGACAAGAGCTTTTTTCGTGTGTCCTTTTCGAGTATTTAAAGCCTAAAACCTCCACGGACTATGAAAGTAAAGGCAACCCAGAGGGCCAAGTTCAGGTTACTGAGGACCTCGGCCAAAAATAATCACTTTGCGGCTTCGCAGAGAGAGAAGAGGGCATGCTTGAACTCATCCTGTCTTAAGGGGGAAAGGAGAGAGGGACTGAAAGCCAGAGGGGAATAAAGAGATAGAGGGGTACCTCTGTTTGTAATCCAATCTCATCCTGATTCCAAGCTGTTTGAAGTTCTGTCAAGAGAAACAGGCTTTGATCATGTGGACCAAATGAACCGAGAGAGCAGAGGGGAAAGGAAAGTGGAGTTTTTAATTCTGTGCTACAGTCCTCCTCCTTCCCCAGGCAGTCTGCTGGCTTAACAAAACAAACAGTGTTTACCTGTAATAACACAATGTTATTTTTCTACCAAACAACTATAGAATTGATAGAGAAAATAATGAAATGAATTCTTTCAAGCATTGCCATTTGGTGCTTTTGCCTATCTCTGTATTTGATGTTGCCTGTTGCTGTGCACATTATAATTGGATTATCTTTTACTATTCACTTCTGTCATGGTTTAGGAGGCATGTATAAACAGGTTTGCTTAGTTTATAGGTACCTTTTAAAACAAAGACCTTTTCTTACATGATGTTCTTACATGAAGGCTTTTTCTGGTCACCTCTCTTCCAAGATAGTTAGTTAGAAAACTAAAGTTATTCCTGTAAGGAGAATCATTTTCCAGATATTTGTAATTCACCACTATCAACTGAGTGTTAATGTTTTTACCTGCACAACTCTTATGAAGTTGGTTACTTCCAATCCATAATTGCGGTGCTGCAGGCGTAAGGTCACAAGGTCACTCAATATGGACACATGTCTTGTTTTTTCACAGGGGAAGCACTCACAGGTTCACCTATTGTTGAGCATTTCACTTCTGAGCCTCTGCTAAGCTATTATGTGTCCTGGATTTTGATTGGCCAGTGTGGTATCACAGGCTCCCTTCTTTTAGTGCCAACCCTCTGTCCTGCCAAAAACAATGATGTCACCCTTGTTGCTATGGTTCACAGTGGGGCGAGCAGGAACATGCCAGAGATAGAGAGAAAGGGGAGGTGCTGCTGCTGTGTTTGGGAGGCCATGCTAAAACTAAACATACATATAGGAAGAGTGGAGGAACAGAGAACACACTTTATAACAGTACAAAGCCTTTCAGTGTGTGTTTTATTGCTACGAGTTTCTGGATGATTTAATTGTTGTCCTATGGCAATTGAGACGGCTCCGAAAATATTTGCTCCGTCTCTTTAAATAAAGTCATATAATTTGTATGCAAATGCAAATTAAATTAAATTCCCACTGTGCTGCGTAGGAGTTTTTAGTTAACTCTACGTTAAGATAATCACCATTGCATTTGAGTAATGTTTGAAGTATGAAAACAGGACAACGTGTTTCTTTGCAAGGGGAAGTGTTACAACTATTTCTTTTAGGTAGTAGTTGTAGAGAAAGCTGCACATGGGAATCAGAGTTCTAGTCTGAGCTTTATGTTTCTGTTGGGGCAAAGTCAGACTCACACATGAGGCAGAAGCAGTGGAAAGTCCCCGCGCTGAGACGGAGCCAGTGGTAGTTTTCCTGATTCTCTTTTGCTCTTACTCCCACTCACTGACGGCTGTGTAAGGCTTCTGTACCAGGACAAGACTGGAGGTTCGCAGAAAAAGTCAGACACACACACAGAGAAATAGTTCACACCACACACAGACGTGCATGCAGAACCCATCCACAACTATTTCCTCCAAAACATTCCTAACCAGATACTCTCCTGCGTATGCCAGAGGTTTGTGCCTCACTCAGCAAACTGTATAAGTCAACAAAACCCAAAGTTTGAGCTGGAACACAGCATGTATAGTAACACTGTCATGAAGTCGTTTTTGTGGTTAGCTTGTTTAAAGTGGCAATAAAACAGTTGCCTTCTACTTGAAAATACCATCATTTCAAACTAATTATCATCATTTACACCCACGGCGAGGCGCCATTTTGGCAGCGTAAGCATGTCAGTAGACAGACTTAACTGTCAGTTCATACTCAGTCATGTTTGAAGTGACCACAGTAAAGTCAACTGTAGTTTTCCTGGTGCTATACTTTGAATTCATTCTGGTTTTGTCATTTCTTTTCATCTTTTATAATGTTTGTACTGCCTCATACGTCATTATTGACTTTCTACCTCTTGTCTCCCTCCCTCCTCAGGTGAAGCAGCTCTGAGGGGCGACCCCAGACTCCAGTCCCTGTCCCTGTCCTCTTCCTCATCCTCCTCCTCCTCATCGTCGTCCTCCTCCTCTTCCTCCTCCATCTCCAACCACAGGACGGGTCCTCCTCCCATCAGCCCCACCAAGAGGAAGCTGAGCGGGGACCAGGGCGACAGCGACATGGACGACAACGAGCATGTGGCAAAGATGAGCCGCCTGTTTGCTACGCAGCTGTGAGTACACGCACTCAACTGGCACTTATACGCTATCTAACAAAATCCATTATGAGGAGCTTCAAATAACGTTATTTATAGATGCTCATTTCCTGAGGCCCTAGTGAAATTCTTTATATATATTTTCTATCCCTTCACCCTGTCTATCTCACACTCACACAAACATTGAGAAGGCCACCTTGCTGTCTAGAAGCTACATGTACACACATACTAGACCCACTGTTTTTAAAGTCAATTCAACTTCAGTGTTTCTGTTGGCCACGTGTTGTGCGGGCTTCTCGTTTGGTAAAACTTTGCCCAGGCAGGCTTTCTCAGAAGTCCCAGTTTGGACTCCGGGGTGCTATGCCAGGTTTAGCCGGCTCCACAGAGTTCTCCTTATAGCCGCAGATCTCTGGAAGCTTGGAAACAGGGGCTGCACAACAGAGAGATTACTCGCATCTCCAGAGTTCCCACATTCCCACTTCCAGAGATTCCACAGATTCTGGTGTGCTGATTGGCTGTGAAGGACTGCTGGGGCCGGGGGCAATGGAGTCACAGCAACCCCCCCCCAACACTCTCTTTCTCGGTTTGACTGAGTCAGTCATGGGACTCCGGCCATGCTATTTATTGCAGAGATGTTATGTGGAACTGTGCAGTTCCTCTATAGGTCCTGTTGCTGGAAATACAAGCAATTTGAGGAAAGATGTTGCTACGTTCATTGCATTGTTAGGTTTGTCAGTCAACATGGCTTGGAGGTGACACAATGGGAGATGATACTGTAAACCCTGGATTAAGAGTAGAGCACCCTTACTAGTAGTGTTCTTATCTGGTTAAGCATGTGCAAACACAAAGATGTATGCATGAGAGCTTGGACAAACACTTGCTGCACGTTTGCACACTAAGCAAGTGTTTGAAATAAAATGTCTGTTGAAGGAGCATCCAACATCATTTTTTTTCCAAATCACGTTCAGACTGTTATGTTAAATATGCGTCTGTAGTCAGTTTGTTTTTCATAGCAATTACAAAAAAAAGGCAATAGCGAATCAGACATAGTACGTACCCAAGTCACTCATGCACAATGATCCAATCATGACTAAATATTCTTTATGCTGACATGTTCCAAACACGTAGCTAAATTCTCTTCTTTCCTTTCGCGCAGTCATAACTCAAAAGCTCTGCCAATCATAGCAAATGTGCAGTTCATTGGTGAAGCAATAGTCGGCAATACATCTGAGATCATCCTGGGCTTTACAGTGATTCTCATCAACGCTCAAGTCATTGCAAAAGTAGTTTATTGTCCCCATTTGTTTTCAACGGCTTGTGTTAAAGGTAGCAATTCTATGACTTTTGATTGAAGTCTTGTATTGGCATAGGGAGAGGGTCTTTGTTCCTTCATCTCGTGACTGTCTGGCCTCACATAACAAAGGATTCGCTTGTGTGTCTTCTCGACATTAGTGCAGTCATCTTGTTTTCTGTTATGGATGTGTCAGTGGTTGGAGGATTACCATTATACACGCTAACCAGGCAGTAAATCCATCTTCCCACTTGGAGCTCTTTCTGTTGTTTTAGTTGTTTTTCCACTCTCTTTACGATGTCTTTCACGCGCGATGCGGTTAACTTCTGCATACATTGATAAGCAAATTCTCCTACTCGTGTATCACGAGTTACTTATTTCATAAGTCGGTCTGCTAAAGTACAATGGGACTTATTGTCATATCAGCTTTCAGTTGGTGTTGCAACTCCTGGCCACAGTTTCTAAATGCAACCATTTTGTTGAGTAAAACGTAGGTTCTGTCAAAGGAAAACTGAACTCAAAACTCTATGTTTATGACTTTCCAAACTGCTCATTGTAGCGTGATTATTTACTAGAAGCAACCTGTGATTACCCTTAATCCCTTTATTTCATCTTCAATTGAATTATGACCTCGGAAGTCATTTGGTTCCAGGTACTGTTGGTTACTCTCTTCACAAGAAAAGTGAATTGCTTGTTGACTTGCTGCAACTTGAAGTTAAACCCTGGGGTTTTTCCGAAGCTTCATCATGATGTAGTTGTTGAACATTTGCCTCGGGGCCATCCGAAATGCATCGCTTTTTTTGTCATTTCATATGCGGTTTCTCTGAGGGCATGCTTTCCCTGGCAAAGTAAACTTCTGAGAGACTTGTTTGAACCTGCAGTCAGGCAGCCTCTGACAAACTTTTCCTCCTTGTTTTTCTGCCTTTCCAAAGAACAGTGATTACACCAAATTGGAGAATGATGGGTTATTGTTACAGAAAAAGTGAAGCTAAAAATAATGTGGTGAAAACAGCCTTTTATAGGAAACACTGGTGGGTACTTTGCTGTCTTTATTTAAAATACATGAGCCGTCCGCTTCATTGAACTCATCTGTCAATAGTAGGAACAGTGATTAGGTTTAATTTGAAAATGATGGACTTAGTTCTTTGGTAACAGCTTGCCAACAAGCTAGAGAACAAACCCAGGCCACCCCTCACCACACCAAATGTGTACACACACACACACACACACACACACACACACACACACACACACACACACACACACACACACACACACACACACACACGCACTCAGTTCAAATGTCCAGAGATGGTTATCTGACACCATTCTAGCTGTTGGATTTTGCTGGCTGCTTCTGCCTGTGTAGCTTGTTTTTCTGTCTGCACTGATTGCTCTGCTCAGACTGTTATTGCATGTTCAGGAGCTTTTGTGTTCATTCTTCTCTTTAAAAGAAACACCTTTGTTTTGCTTAAATGGCAGTTTTCCCTTGTGCTGACAACATACTGTAGGTTGCTAAATGATGTGCGTTTCTGCCACAAGGCTTATAGTAGGCGTTCTTTTGTCTTTTCAATTCAGTCATATTTCAGACAGGCACCTGACACCTTAGACTTGAGGCGGGGCTAAGCGGCAGTAAGCTCAGGTTACTGCCAATTATAACAAGCTGGAGTCAGCGTAGGCATAGACTCGGGAAAACTAAACTTTCTGAACCCTCTTAAGGCTTTTCTCTTTAATTGTTTATTGTCGAACGGCTGTGAATTAAATGTGGTTGAGTTTATTCTTCTCAGCCATCTTAGTGTTTCGTGGTGAAGTCACTATTGTAATATAAATACAAAGTTTATAGCATGGTAAATTCTACATATAAAAGCCTGATGGAACACATCGATAGGCCTAGTTGCAGGCTGATATGTGGAAACAATCTCTTTGTACTGAGTCCGCAGAGGCCTTCTGCAGCCACTGCAGGTATGCACAAGTGTTGTTTTGTGCGCTGTCCGTACATGCATGTGTGCTTGCCCATCTGTGATAATCTGTTTGTGTGCATGTGTGTGTGCATGTGTGTGAGAGGGCTCCTTGTCAGGCAGCAGAGGCAATACTTTCTTATTTTCTCTGAGGAGTAGGAGGAGTCTTGAACAAAGAAGCCTTATCCTGTCCACTGGAGCCTGCGGGCTGGAAGCCTGCTGCTGCCTGCCCGCCGCTCTGCAGTTGTAGAGCCGCCAGAATAAAAGTCCTCTAGCTCAGCTGTTTCATTCCTCCTTAGGAATAAGAGCCGGTCCCAGAGCAAGGCTTTTTATAGGGTTTTAATTGGGGAATATGACTGCAGGAAAGTGTATATGCAGCAGCCTGGTTACATGGACTCACGGTTGATTTTCTCAGGTGATAAGCTTTGATGTTTATCGAAACTAAGTGTATTTTTTTTTCATTATAATATACCAAGTGTATTGTGTATCTTTTCTGTATAGTAAGTTGCTTAGCTGAATTACATTTTAAAAACCATTAAGTCAGATTTTGATGAACCTGACAAGTTGACCTGGGGATTGCTTTGAGCCAATGTTCCTTTTTTCTCTCTTTTTCATGTTTTGTTCATGCTCATACTGGCTGAATTGCCAAAAAGACATTTGTCGTCGACTTTGTTCAGAGTAGTACTTCATCTTTCTCTCTGCCTTGCTTTTATTTTATGATTCTCTCAAACGTAATTCTGTTGAAAATGGCCCTAAAAGCTACATTTAGTCAGTGTAGCCAGTTTGCTGCAGTAAGTACTGTTGCATACAGAAAGTGCAGCTGCCTTCTACTGGGAACTTCATCAGTAAATTGTTCTCATGGAAGTTTCCCCAAAGGCCAAATTGGGGGAAACATAAGAGAGAGGGTGGGTGTGTGTGTGTGTGTGTGTGTGTGTGTGTGTGTGTGTGTGTGTGTGTGTGTGTATCCATTTTGTGGGTTTCAGCAGACCTCGCAGAGCTCGGGCCTGGTTGTAACCTGCGGTTGAGCCTTCATCCTCCTCTGCTTTTTTTTTTTGTCGTCTTCTCCTCTCTACGCCCTGATTCTTCCCAGATGTTTCCTGTGTGTGTCTCTCTTTCTCTCTCTCTCTCTCTCTCTCTAAAGATTTACAGTGAGGTTTTCTCTAAAAGACTAGAGGACAATTGTGAGAAAAGGCGTGGAACTTTTATAGCTCCTGTATCTTTCCCTCAAAGTAAAATATAGCTAACTCACCAAATTGGCAGTCTACTATAAAGCTAAACGTGGAAAACTCAACCATCATTTTAAAGTTATGGGTTTATTTGTTTGATTCACTTTCCATTTTGACAATTGGACAAGTTAGCTCAAAGAAAGCGGCTTGTTTTAAGAAACACTTCACAGGGCTGACTATGTGCTTTGTTCACTCAAGTCACTCAAACATGGTTCGCAGTCATGATCTTTGACTTGAGGTTAACTTGAAGACAGGGTGTCATGTGAAGGGTTACTCAAAAGGCTGGCCTTAATGACAGATCAGAGTGGTGTAATATTGTTTAAGATATATGAGCATCATTTATGTATTGAGGGTTGGACTCTCTAACTTTGAAATGAAGGGGTCTTCCAGTGAATCTCAACCACAGTGACCACCACTAATGCCAGGCTACACAAAACCCAGGCTCTTGTCAAATAGAATGAAATAGAAAATACTCTTTATTCCATTGTGTCAAAAATATCTATTCTGATGTCAGTCACACAGTTCTCATTATGAAAACAAACCGGTGGGAAAAAAACGTGCAAATATTCAAGTAAAGAAGACGGACCAAAGCGAGGTTTGACGTTTTCTTTAGGCTAACAGGACAAATAGGAGTTGGACTGTACCTGCAGTCAGAGTGCTGGTGGTTTCTGTATATTTGAGTCATTTCTCTCAAATCTATTCCAGCATCATTATATCTGAGCTTCTCTCGGTCTGCCCCCTCCTCAGCGTGGGTCTTGCTCCATATTGATGCTCGACCGGAGAGTATTAAGTTGTGAAATAAGATTCAGCTGCGTCCCCAACCTCGACCCCACTCCTTTTATTCACTTAGTGTCCTCTTGTAGGGGCCAAATTCAAGAGTTCTTTACTTTTTAAAGGTTGCCCCCCCTCTCTCTGCCTGTCCCACTTGTAGCTCTCATCCTCTCCTCCAGCCCCAGACATGGCACCCCTCTCCCTTCAGCTCTAGCCTTGTTACCGCCCGCATGCGTCTCCCTCGCTGTCCGCCCTCTCCCTCTCTCCCCAGCTGCGACCCTAACCATAATTGAGAGGTGAGTATGAGAGACAAAAGACTCAGGGTCGGTTTTGAATGCCCGATTCCTGGCATGAACTGCGGTCCGGGGGTTTTGGTGGGCAATCAGGCGAGGAGGGGCGGGGACGGCGTTGGATTCGACAGCTACGCCATTCATTGGTCGGATTTGTTGATCCTGTTCACTGGCTCCTGAAACTGGCCCCTCTTGTGTGAGGATGTGGGCATGCCTGCTCCTTGGCAATGATTAAAGTTTGGAACAACTTCCACAATCTAACTCAACACCCAGCTGCTGAGAGGGAGAGCTTCATTATCCGTTTGCCTCTAAAGTAATCTGCTGGTTGTTTATATTTGACGATAGCAGAGTTTTACAGGAGGTTACAAAAGTGAATTTGTTCTATACGAATATTTAAAACAACAAATTCATTATATTTACCTGTTTGACTCCACGAGGCCGTTATTGATTGACTTTTCGACACAGATAACTGATGCTACTATGGGAAAACATGGGAGCCTGTTGACGAGCGGTTGGCCAGGGTTTCTAAGAGCGCTGCCAAGTGTCTCCCTCTTTAACCCTCGGGAAGTTTGCTGCGGACTGTGAGGAGAAAAGAGAAAGAAAGACAAAGAGAGTAAAAAGAAAAGGGGGGTGTCTCTCTGCTAATGTAAGCTCGGCACAAACGAAGGAAACTATCGACCTCACTCTTTCTTAAGCAGAGGTCCGGACCGTTCACATGCAGCCCCCCCCCACACCGCGCCTCCCGCCTCTCGGCAGCTCTTCTTCTCTCCCTCTCTATATTCTGTGGAGACTATTTATTTGTGGAGGACGCTGCTGTGGGTTCCAGATGCTTGACCCAGCAGTCAGGTTGCCTGGTCACATGGATCTACAACTGTTTGCCTGAACTTCTTGTCTTGCATCGAAACAAAAAAATTAAAATAAAAAAAAAACTGCTGCAGCTTTTTTCGCTCTTGCATTCACATTCAGGCTTTTTCTGGAGAAAAGCCCCCACACAGTTTCTGTTGAAGCACAAAGAGGGAATTTCCTGTATTTTTGAGTGCAGCTTATTATTTATAGTACAATGTACCGTTGTTTTGTTTTCCAAATGGAGGCTTTTGTGTGTATGTAAAGTGTTTATGTCGGTGTAGGAAGTAGGAAGTCAGTGAGTTCTAATTTGTGAATGGCTGTGTCGTTATGCATGTGGCTTTGAGGTTGGAGAAAAGGAGAGATAGTAGGAGGCGAGTGCAATAAATCTTGCTCCCTGAAACTGGGCCTCAAACTGTAGGAGGGGCGTGGAGGGTGTAATACACAGTTGAACACATACAGAACACAGACCACATTTGACGCACTTAGCAAAATAATTGCTACTGTTAAACTGGAAGCAATGGCGCACGGTATCAGGCGCCGCCAGTTCTCTACAAATCAAACAAGTTTTCATTCGAGCTGGGAGCTGGAGAAAAAAAGGAGGCCGAAATCTGTGTTTTGTCAAACTGTCGTTACTTTAATCTCTTAACCCTTATCGCTGCTTTTTCAATGATTCAAATATGAGCTCACAGATTGGAGAGGGGGATTTTGTTGTCGTGGGAAATAAAAGTCTTTCATATGGGAACTGTGTGGCAGCCTTACTCTTTTTTTTTTTACTTTAGTATTCAGCTCGTGGTTGTAGAGCAAAAAACGAATGGATCAACTTTAGGAAGTGTGTTGAGATGCAGATAGAGGCAGCTCCTCTGCATGTGTCTGTGCTGTAGGAGCCCTGCTGGATTTTCTGAGTTCTTCCATTGGACAGCAGTGATTGCAGCTGGTTTCAGGCTCACTGGGGAGATACAGTCGATGCGCTGTTCTGAGGAAACCACTCCACAGCTTTGAACTTTGTGCCTGTTTGCCCCTCTGTGCAGGGGGACGTTTGGAGCCCATCCATGTTGGATACAGTTAGGAGTGTTCCTTCCTCCTTCATTAACAGCAAACATTGTGTGTGCGTGAGAGAGAGAGAGAGAGAGCATGTGCTTGTACAAAATAGTCTTATCAGACCCTACAGCAATCTGAAAAGAGAGTGTATGTGTGTGTACCATATACAATCAGTCTTTTGTTTAGCTTACCTCTCTTTGCCCTCAACCCTTTCTCGGAGCCCCTTTCTACCTGCCTTTATTCCTTTCTTCACACTGCTCATCTTTTCCATTAGATACACGATCTGCCACCAGCCTGCTGTTTTGTTTTTGTATTGAGCTCATCCCTAACACAGAGAGTTCTGTTTTAAAAACATTTGATAAGGGGCCATCTCAGTAGACAACAAATATTTTAAATGTGCATTTCTAATCAAATCTGAGTGAGAGGAAATGGAAAGCAGTTCAATAATGCTCCTCTTTCTGTCCCTCTGTCCTCCAGGAAACCCAATGGAGACTACCGCAGCTCTCCCATGTCCAAGGACCAGAGCCGGAGCCCCATCGAGCGCGTGATGGTGCCCAGCGCTCTGGGAGTCCACGGCAACCACCTTTACAGCCATGCCCACCACCACCATCACCACCACCACCATCTGGCTAGCTTAGCCGGGATGGACCAGCCGCTGGCGCTCACCAAAAACAGCATGGTGGAGTCTGCACGCAGCAGCACGGCAGCTATGGCAACAGTGCCGCACGCAGTCAGCGCCGTGGAACGCCAGCAGGTAACCCGCACTTCCTGTTTCTCTGGTTCGAGCACCAGACTAAATATTTTTCAAATTGTTGGGTAAAACCTCAACCCATGTAGAACCCCCCCTAGATTTAAGCAGTGTGCTTTCATTAGCCAGTCTCCTTGGATGGTGAGGAGAATAGATGTTCTATTTTCAAACCCTTGTGGTCAATGTATCATTCCACCTCCCTTTGGTCTGTTTTCTTTGCTTGAATATGTCCCAATACTTTGTGTTTTTAGAATCGTCCTTCAGTGATCACATGCGCCCCAGCCAACAACCGCAACTGCAACCTGTCCCACAACGGCTGCTCAAGCCTGGCTAACAACTACAGAAGAATCAACAGTGAGTCCAGACACAGCAGAAAGACAGACACGTCCTACGCCTCTAAATTCTAGTGTATTCGTTGATTCGGTTTATTGTAGAAAGACCTTGAGGGTTGGACAAACCTCTGTAATCCATTGATTGTTATGAAGTACTGGGCACATATGTCCCTAAAATCATACTTTCCCATACAGTGCACTTTGTTGGAATCCTTTTCACAAGTGCAAATCAGCCTCCAGACAAAACACAACCGCTTATACTCCTAACATTCAGACGGACTTGCTAAAATTAGTGATGCTAAAAAAAAAATCCTCCCAGCTCTCGGTCAGCGAGTCTCAGAGTCTTCAACACTCTTTATTTATCACCTCGTCTGTTATCTCGTCACTCGAGGCTTCAGCCAAACACGTCTGTCTTATTCGTCCCGTCTGTGTGTGTCGGTCATGTTTCCCGTGGCTTCACTCGACTGTGGCCGTTTTTATGATCTTAGTGAAATCCCTATGATCTCATTGAGGTTAGCAATGAAATTTAAATCGGTGATTTAAAAAACAAAAAAAAACGCAATGAGAAAGTGGAGCCGAGTGTCTGAGTTTTCCATTGACTTCAAATGCTCATTAGAAGTGTTTGAACTGATGCTTGGCAAAAGAAAACTCCCACTGAACTTTATATTAGTGAGTTTAAGAGATGTTTCTGTTTTGGTTATGGGAACTAAAAACTCTTTCCTATCCTCTCTGTTTCAGCCAATACAGCCTGCGACCCGGTGATTGAGGAGCACTTCCGCCGCAGTCTGGGTAAGAACTACAAGGAGCCCGAGCCCACCGCCTCCAACTCTGTGTCCATCACCGGCTCGGTGGACGACCACTTCGCCAAGGCGCTGGGCGAGACCTGGCTGCAGATTAAAAACAAGGGGAGCCCCTCGTCGTCCGGCAGCAGCCCAAACTCCTCCCCCGACAGCCACATGGTCAATCACAACCACTCCCCTTCTGTGGTCTCCTGAAGGAGGCGGGGTTTCAGAAGGATTTGTCCTTCTCTCCCCCGATCATCCCGGCTCCAAAACCCTAGCCCTCGTCACTTTGTTCTGTCACCAGCATCCCAGAGGGAATGCCTGTCTGCTGGTCTGCTCAAAACATCGGAAAAACCCTCAAGTCTGCACTCATAGAGAATCAAGCAATAACAACACGGACGTTTTCCCCCCCCCCCCTTCTGTCTTCTGGTGGTAACGCCAGACAATAATGAGTGATGAGCGATGAGGTTGGACTTTGGGACTCGACCGGAGCATCAAGCTGCTCCGTCCAATCATTCATCATCCCTGCATGTCGAGCTTGGAGCTGAGCGAAGAGTCTGTCGTTGTATGTACATAAAGAGAGGAGAAAGGCGATGTTTGAATTCTTCATTTTCTTCTTTATTCTGTTTGTTTGTTTCTTTAACAGTAGTTTTGTGTACTGCTTTTTTTTTTGTGTAGTGTTTTGTGTACTGCTTATGAGATGCCCGAATTTTGGAAAAAGAGAACACTTTGGAGAAAAGTAATCCCAAACCACCCCACTGTGCTACCAAAGAAACCTCCACGATGTTTATGAACGCCCACCTCGAAAACAAAACAACAAGAAGCCATCATGTGATCTCCATCTCTTTTCATCCTCTCACTATCCTTCTCTCCCTCTGCCCTGTGTGTGTTGTGCTGGTGTTGTTACTGTATGAATACTTAGCTGATCGATTTAGCTTGCACTGCTGCCATAGAGGGTAACTAACGAGTGACACATCAAGGTTTTAATGGGGCTGATTTGACACAGTCTGCTGTCATCCTGCCCAAGTAGGAAACTCCATTAGATTTCAACAACAGTTTATCTGAAGACTAGCTGGGAATATTCTCACCCTGGGCCTGGCACGGAATGTAAAGTAGCATTTGTATGCTTTTGTTTAATGGGAAATGTATAGTAGTGGGGTTGGGCAGTATAACATGTTCAATATGAAGCACATGTGGTCACATCACAGCTTGTTAAGTGTAGCTGTTAACTACAAACACATGCTTGCATAGTAAGAGAAGTTAAGGAAAACAACGTCAGGTGTAAACTGCTTCATGCTTATTATTGGTAATGGTGCCAAATAGTTGCAAGCACAGGCAGGTTATGGGATCAGTTAACTGCGGTGTGGATGGACATCACAGGCATTATGAGAGCAGCTCAGGGCTGAAACACAGCTGTACCAGAGTCAGTGTAGCTGAACAATGAGCTTTGATGTGTTCCACTGGCTTAACTGCTGACAGTGATGAGGGGATAGATGACGCTGCATGTCACTTTGTGGTTGGGGGCGGGGGAGGAAAAGTCTGGTTTCTGGACCGGGGGAGAGAAGATTATTTCGATCTCTTCACACACACCTTGGTTTTTATGTCTCTTTGAACACAGGTGTTGTAATTATATTTGACGTACGCCCTGCTACCCCTCCCTCTCCTACACACTGTGGTTTGGTCTATTTCTACAAAGGTTTGAAGGGTGAACTAATGCTTTTTACGGATGCATGTTTTTTATTGTTTTGTTTTTTAATAGCTGGTATCTATTAATGTTTTTAAGCCGCATTTCAATCCTAACTACTATTAGCCTTTTCATTCAGACGTTAGTTGTTGCTTCTTTCGATGTCAGTAACGGACATAGACACTATACACTCACTGCTGGGTCAGTCGTACTCCATATTATTATTGTTATTATGACAATTTTGTATTTTTTTTGTTTTCCATTAATATCAGTATGGTAACAATCATCTATAGCGGGACAGCCTCCGGACAGGCTCTGTGTAACGATGAGAGCTGCGTTTCTCGAAAACGTTCTCAGCGCCGCTACCGACCCGTCGCTCCCGCAGCAGAGCGGAGATCTTCCTGGTGTTGAGATGGCTTTCGGGATACGCAGCCCATAAAGGTTTTCTTAAGATGTTGATCCATCGGTGGTACAGGATGCTACAACCTTCAGCATGACTGATCTGAGACACCAAATTAGCAACGAATAGTCAACTAGGCCTTGTTCTCCTGAGAAGCATCTGCAGCCTGAGATCAAATGTACTCTTATGAGTCTGTGTCATCTTAAAGTCACCACCTCGGTACCAGCCTTAACTCCCATTACTGCTGTATTACTAAAAGTACTTAATACAGAATAGTCTAGCATGCGATGATGCTTTCAAGTAACAGGGTATCGTTTATAGTAAGGTCTTATTAATGTTTAAGAGCTAAAACAAACGTTAAATAGATACATTCGGATCTCACAGCTCTAATACTTCACCAGTTGACTCTTTTCTGTCCTGACTTGGTGTCCAGATATTTTTTAATTCAATGCTTTCATTTTTGAACAACCTTGTATTGTATCTGCAGTTAAGCTAGACTGCTGCAGTTGAGACAAACATGGTTTTGCTGTTGAAGAGCCTGCGCCAAGGTGGCATACATTCCTCCTTTAGGGAACTTAGTACAGGCCTCAGTTTCTCCTTATCGACAGACAGAGCTCATAACAGCCACGGCCAACTGGGTTTCTGACACTTTCCCGGAGTTACAATTGATGTGATAATAAAAGGAGAAATAAGCTTCTTTTTCAAAAACAGACAACCTTTTTGAGAACATTGGGAGCATAGAATATACTGAGGCCGTAACAATAGACAGTGATGTGAGTCATACTGCTGCAAAGAACAGAATGATTTCATGTCTCTGCGCTGAGGCTGAAAGGTGACGCGGTTCATGTGTGTTTGTGATGGATGTACTCATCCTTTATCAAAATGACCGTAACCACAGTGAAGTACTCTTTCTCCCATGTTCTAGAATGACCACACATTCCATCCTAGACTGAAGCAAACTGACAAGTTGTAGAATCAGATTGAGATTTACAGCATGTTCGATCAGAATGAGACTCATTTCCAAAAGGAGTAAGTACTCTTAGTCTAAATGTGCTTTCTGTGACAGCTTCAGAGTTTGGATGGAGATGTTTAGCGGGGAGGAGCAGGGCTTCAGGAGCTGAGCTTCTGTAAGCACGACCTGTGAGCCAGGAGATGTTCAGCTGCCACCGAGGGTCTCACAGTGACGCCCCTCCCCCCCTCAGATTCAGCAGATTTATATTTGATGTAGAAAGCAACATGTGAGAAAACACGAGGGAAAAGGGCTCAGTGTCCAGAGGATTTAGTTTTTCTATTTTTCTTTCTCCTTATTATTTCACTACCACCCTGTAGGTAGGAGGCTCTCTCTTTGCTTCGGCACACACTCCCTACACACTGTAGGAAAATCACTTAATAAAAAAAATACTTTTTTATAATAGGTAACTATAAGACCATCATTACGCTGTGCGTAAGGAATGTACAGAGAAAAAAATCGTAGGTATTTTTTGAGGAACAATTAATTTGTTAATGATATGTAGCTATTTAATTGTTGTTTTTTTCCTGTCCTTATATTGTAATCATTGCATTTTCTTTTTTGTGAAAAAAGTTGATCTTTTTTGTTTATAGAGTTTGTCTTGTTAGAGTAAAGGTTCAAGTGCAGGAACACAGCAAATGTATGAAACCACAATAAGGCCACTGGTGTGTCGGGGACAATCGCTACTTCCATTGCAATGTCCTGCAATCATTTAACTTGTGTTCGATCATGTGACTCCAGAGACATCCGAACAAAAGAGATTGTCCTTTTAGAGGCCTATTGAACATAACCCTGCCACTAGCCCATTGAGCCTTGCCGGCCATTTCCATTTAACTATTGAAATGATAATAACAACAACATTGTGATGGGCTAGCAGGCGAGTACGTTTTCCACATGTGCTTGTAAGGGTTATAAATGTTGGGTTTTGAAGGTATTTTGATGTGTTAGATCTACAGATGGGAACTGAGCTACAAATGAGAACCATCAGTCCATTTGATAACACAGATTGGCTTTTCACTGAAATTAGAATTCTGAACTGGTGAAAATCCTGACTGCATTTTCATACTTTTAGTTGTGCTGAAGTTCATCGTCTGCTTGTCTGAAAATAGGCTTTGGTTCATCACCCTTGTATCTGATGTGACATTTCCCATCTGTGGAGGCCATTTTGATCTGTAACCAAGTGAACAACATGAAAATTGTGCAGATAAATCAAAGTGGAGTTGGTCTTTACTTTGGCTGTACCACAATTTCCTGGTCCTTTTTGAAGTGGAAGTAGCATGTACTTAGTGGTAGTAATACTCTGAACTGTAAAAAAAAAAAAATGGTATCAAGTAAACTACAGTCGATTTGTGGCTCTGTGTCTCTACTAAAAAGGTTTTGGCAGGCCACCTTTTTTGTACGTAAAGTAGCCTTGATGAACAATAAAGTGCTTTTAAACCACTGTCTGACTGTGTGGGCCCCCATCACTGTGTGTGTGTCTGTGTTTTTTTGATATGCTAGGAAAGACAATGGGTGGAAGATGCAGCTACAATGAGCAAATATAATTAATTTCACACAAACCAATATTTTCATTGCAAGATAAAACTCTCAGAAGAACAAATAATAAAGAGAACGTTTATTCATTGCTTATACTTACAGAAGAAAAAAAGCATGACAAAAACAACTCTGAGAATAGAACATTGAAAACCAAGTCAATTATAAATGCCATCTCAATTTTGAGAAATTCATAACAGGAAAAAGTCTGAGGTCAGGTTGATCCCGGAATTGTGTTTCTCACAATTCTGACATCACTTTTCAAATTCTGAAACGAAGGTTCCATTTTTCTCACGTTGCACTTATTATCTTCCATACATATCAAGGCGGCTGTCGTCACACTGAAAGTATCATACATCTAATCAGTACAGAGAAATATCACACAGCAGTAAGAAAAGCAAGAGATAAAGACATGCAAGCGTCATCACTAACAGACCATAAAGACGTTCAGTTTGTCCGTCGGCTCTTTTATATTAAACTGTGCAGTTTTAGCTTCCAGGTTGTCTACAGCAACAGTAAACAGTTTCCACATCAGTTGCACAGTAACATCTGTGAGCTGGTTTTATTATTAACTGCACTGTATGTATCACAGTCTCCGGTAAACACACAGGGAGATGGATGGATTTGCTGAGTTGTCAACTGTGTTTTTGTAATTTAATAATCAATCTGAAGCACTCTGAGTGAGCGAGCAGATGTTGTTAGTCAACGTCTTGCCAAAGGACACAGCAAACCCATTAAATGTGTTGATGGAGAGACGGTGGGGGGGATTGAACCTGGGTCTATTCGGTGAGGTTTTTTTTTAAAGACAAAAATAAAGTCCATTAATACAAGTGTTTTGTTGTGTTTTGTCTCAGGTAAACATTGAGTGAATGCGAGTGAAGAGATAGGAATAGGGTTTCAAAATTCCGGGAATTTTCCAAGATGGAAACTTTCCACGGGAATAAACGGGAATTTATGGGAATAAACTGGGAATTTTCCAAATTGAAGGTTGGCTCTTCATAGGGAACTTAAACATAGTTGGGGAAAGTATATTTTAGCATAATCTTGACTAAAACAAACAGATGCCATTCAAGTACACTTGAATATCCATGCCATAGCACACTGCTTACTGCATGGCTATTGAGACCATACAAAGGTTCGCAACAGGCTCACTAATGTGAGAGTGGAACAACTGGTTGGCGTTCGGGCAAACCTAAGGCTCTTTGAGCCTGACACAGAGCCATCCTCAACAAGGTTGGACAGTGATACTGAAGAGGAAGAATCAGAGTTGGATGTTGCTGAGGCCCAGGAAGAGCCTGTTGACTGAAAGGGTTTAGCCAAAATGCAGAGGATTGCTTGAAGGAAGATTTGCATGTTTAATGGGACTTTTTGGAAGGAGAAGGGCTCTTTTCATTTAACATTTTGAATGGGACTTTATGGGGATCTTTGGATGGGGGGTGCATTTTTGTTCATTTTTTAATGAGTGGGGTTGGGGTGGATGAGTAACATTTAACTCAACATTCCTGTTTCCGTTCTTCAATGAAACAAATAATTGTTCAATAAAATAATTAAAACTTGTCCTGTTCTACTTCAAAAAAAATGTTTAAAAAAAAAAATCT